GATGTTAACATTAGTGTGTATTGCGCAGCTCGTTAAGGCTAGAGTGCGTGATGTCACAGCTAGAGTGGAGGACAGCTTGAAATTCGCCTTCATATATATATATTTTTTTAAACCTGCCATAATTCCCAAACCCTACACTCCTGAGACAGAATGTTTCATGAAAAACTTAGGAAAACATCTCTTAGCTTGAAAAATTAAAACAATTAAGCAAAAATATTAAACAAAATGCCTCTTGAGGGCATGAAGTGACAAAAACGTTCAACATGTCTCCATTAAGGCCAATTGTAAATTCAGCTTCATTTTTCCTCACAGCAGCAACCTTTAGTTAATCTGCCAAAAAGGCCACATTATTGACCCGAAACTAAGTACACAAAAAGCACACTTCAGACGCTCAGGGTCCTTGAGATGCTTCACGCGTTGAAATTTCACGGATATCTGTTACGGTTCTTCAACAAAACGTTCACATGTCACTCAAATCAATGGAAAGGCTCCCCTCTCACTGATTACTGCACATCACCATGGAAAACTTTGATCTCTGGGCTCAAGCACAGGTGTTTCATAACGTTGTTACCTCAAACATAAACACCTGTGTGTTGGAGATATGACATGATGATGTCATAACTCCAACTGACAAGCTCAGAACGCCACCAAGCATCACATGACGGTTAACACTGTGGCCCTGAACTGCTATACATCAAATCTGATGTTACATAATGTGGTGTTACTATGGCAACGCATCCCTCGCCATAAAACACGATGTCGCTGTCTGGAAATCTGCGATCTCCCCATATGCCGTTTCCATGAAAACACATCCCTTGCCATAAAACACGATGTCGCTGTAACTCCAATGGACACTATCCGATCCTCCCCAAAACTTCACTTGTATATCACCGGTCCATGCCTCAACAGCTCTACGATAAATCTGAAATCTCACCATATGCTGTTTCCATGGAAACGCATCCCTCGCCATAAAACACGATGTCGCTGTAACTCCAATGGACACGGTCCGATCATCCCCCATACTTCGCTCGTATATCACTGGTCCATTCCTCAACAGCTCTACGATCTGAGATCTCAACATAGGCTGTTCCCATGGAAACGCATCCCTCTTCAAAAAACACGATGTTGTCGTAACTCCTATGCAAATGGTCAAGACAGCACCAGACTTCAGATAATGGTTAATGGTCCAGCCATCAACATGTCTATGTGCCAATAGTGAGTTTTCCTCAAAAGCTGTTGCCATGGCAACACATCCCTTGCAATAAAACACGATATTGCTATAACTCCTATGAAAATTGTCAAAAAGTGCTCAAACTTCACATGTGTGCTAACAGTCCAGCCGTGAAGACATCTACGTGACAGTTTTGAGATTTCTTCAAATCCCATTGCCATAGCAACACGATGCTCGCCATGAAACAAGCTTTTCTCATAACTTCAGTGAAAATGCTCCAAACGGCCAAAAACTTCACAGGCTTGGTAACGATGCAGCCATGAACACATCTAAGCGTATTATGGGGTTTCATCAAATGCCGTTGCCATGGCGACAGATCACTCGCCATCAAGTTAGTTCAAAAGTTTGCAGTTAAAATATTCTGATGCTTTTCCAAGCCTTTTTACTTTCTTTTCTTCTCTTATCGCACATTCAAGCCCCCAGTGTTCATGTATCATTTCAATCTAAATTCTTCACTTTCTCCTTACACATTACATTTCAGCATAGCAGTTCAGCGTCAGCTTTTCAGCATAAAGCATTCCCACTAGCAATTTCTTCAGAAATTGCATTCTCTAGTTTGTAACTAATCCTCTTTGCATTTCTTTCATTTAATATTATTAAGTGAACAACAAAATAATGTTCAGAGAAAATATTTTATAGGTGTGGTTTCATCTAGTTAAAGCAAGCAGTCACAATGCAACAGGAAATAAATATGAAACATTTACAGCAGCAAACACGTGCAGGCTTATTCCCGCACATGTGCTAACCACACCTTCAACTATTCTGTCACAGAATGACTCATCACATTTGAGTCACCGATGTGTGCCTGCAACAAAAGCATCTTACTGTGTATGAGACTGGTGTCTATTGTTTGTAATTTGAGAGATGTATTGCACCAGGAATTCAGCCTACAGTAGCTTTGTGTATTGGGTTTGTGGCTTGTGTGAAATGCCTTAGACATCTGATTCCAAAAGATTAGGGATACTTAAACAGTAGACATGTATATCTGAGTGAATTGAAGCATCAATATAAATTGCATTAAAAAAAGACACAGTGGATTGGCAGTTTACTGATGATCTTCCTGCAGCCATTAAAATATGCAGGAGCTTGTAGATAAGCACCTGGGAGTGTTACTGCGTCACTTTCAATATGATACATCCCGTCCTGCATCATATCTGCAAGTAATTTAGTTTTTATTGGTGTTAGTGGGTGTGGTGTGAAAAGAGTGTTGCCTTCTTAAGGTTACCTTTGTTGACCCCTTCAGATATGTGCTGCTTTGCAAAATGAAAAAAACACCCATCTTTAATGCAGCTGCCACAGGGAGACAGATAAAGATCTATTTAGGGAACGTCAGAGGAGCATCTAAATCAAGTTTGAAAGCATTCATATCCCAGATGAATTAAGCACACTATATGTCAGAGAGAAAATCACATATAATAACAATACATCTTTATTTATATAGCGCTTGTCACGCACCAGCTGCAACTTAAAGTCCTTCAACAACATGGCACGCATCACAGATTAAAACAGAAAAATTAAGTTCACTTCAGGTCAAACGGTAAATCCTTTTGGCACACATGCGGCATAGAAGCATAATATAACACTTTAAGGAACACAAGGAGGTAAAAGGTATGATAATAAAAAAGAACAATAAAATAAGTAATGGTATCTCACGGGATAACCCTCAGTAAAATAAAGAAAGACATAACACAAAAGGAATACATTCAATAAAACATTAAAACCTATAAAATAAATAAAACAGTAAGAAAAAAAGAAGAAAAATTCAGATTAAATGACAAATTAAAAGGGGATAAAACTATAAAATAAATAATATCAATAGAAATATATAAAACCTATAAGATAAATAAATAAAGCAATATAAAAAGGACTAAATAATACGAATAATAAAGATTAAAAGGGGATTTGGCTAATTAAAAACTAAATCTGTCTTTCGCTGTCATTTAAAAATGTCCACTGACTTTGACTAGGATTCATGGCCCATTATCACTAAAATAATGTCTGTATTTGTTTGTGGGAATTAAAGGATGTAACTTCCTCTTATCAAGAGAACAGTTGATCACATTTGCCTGAGTTTTGAATAACTGCTTATTATTGTTTCACGAAATATTGAGGAGGAGGGGAGTTTATTGGTTGCTGTTGCAAGTCATTTATTCACAGTGTGTTCAGAGCTGAAGCTGTGTTTGTTTTTAAAACTTAGTCAAACATGTTCAGCCATCTGCCAAGGGTGTGGCTTGTCACCTCTCCTGTTCTTTGAGATGTCCATGGACAGGATATTAAGGCAGCGTCTAAAGTATAGCTGCGTTTGATGTGGTTGGGAGGAGCTCTTTAATGTATGGCACTGTATGTTTGTGGTCCCATGAAGAAACCAGCTGAATGGGGAGAGGCAAACACATTGAGGAGTTTATTTATTTTGGTAAAAAATGATCACACAGTGTAGCACAATGGAAATAAGCCCTTAAGCTTTATTTGTTCTTTAGACTAATCTTTTTTAATTCAGGTGTTTTCTAAAGGCAGTTCTTTGTACAGGTTGAATGTCAGGCTGTTTAACACGCTCATTCATTGAATCAGTAAAGTCAACACAAAGGGGATTATTGATTTAGATTTGGAAATAGACCATGGAGATGAACAATTTATCATTAAGTCTAATCCTGTGGAAACCATGTGTCTCCATGACAGCAACTTTTCACTGACTAAGAAACAGATACGTTTTGTTTGTTTTTAGCTTTGAGGTGATTCATTTTTTCCACAACAATCAACTTGTCTTTATATAGATCATTCATTTTAAGTTAGGGTATTTTCCTCAGCCCATAAAAAGGACAAATAATCCTTCAAAATCTTAAAATTTGCTGATACAGGATTTCCATCTGAAAGTGATAATGGAAGACCATTGATCTTGTAAATATTTGTTTGACGAAAGGATTTAAGCCCAGTTGTTCACTGCTTCAACTCCATCGCATTGGTCTTCATCAGCAGGGAGGTTGTTTTTTTTGTCTGCCTTTATCTGTCCCAATTGGCTAACCAATAGATTAACCAATTAAATGAATAGTAAACATATACAATGAATTCTTATAAGCTAAATAAATGAATATTACAAGTCCAAAAGGAAGTTAGAAGACAGGTACGCAGAAACACATATTATATGACCCTACCCCTTTATTATAACTTAAATATTGACAGTAATGTTAATTATTCACAGTACAGTTCAACTATTTGCCTTAATGTTAATCAAATATAAATTACGCCAATCATTTATTTTAATATGCTTTAATAGTCCACTTTTCAAAGGCGTAATTATGGCAATGAAAGTCTCAGGCTCCATCAATAATGCAACATAAAATATATGTAAGACATAAAACAAATAAAAAACATTACAAATATTGCAAGAAGATACAGAATAGAAATAAAATAGTGCAAGAGAAAGTTGAAAGACCAATGTGCAAGCAATGCAGAATATATATGTGCATGTAAAATAGAATAAGGCGAGCTAATAACAGAATGTAAAATTGTTTTTTACATTATTTGTTAAGAATACAATAGAATAACAAACTCATTTTAACCAACAATGTTCCTCAGGGCAGACATGCACTGGGCAGATCCAGACTTTGTTTTATTTCTCCATGAATCATCAATGAGACTTCTTAGGAACTGGTGTGGATTTCCTCTGGAGTGTGTGGGTGTGTTGAGTGGATGAATAAGCGGGTGTTTCCTGGAATTATCCTGCTGTTGTGTGATCAAACACTTATATAATATTTCATGCATCACCAGCAGCAGCCCTGCTCTGGCCGAGGTTCAGTTTCAGTTTGAGGAATGCTGCCCCTGACTTGTTGCCCTGTAGTTTTCTGTACATGCGTACTCCTCCCCTCCCTCACAGTGTCAGCAGTGTAACTCCAGAGTTGCAGAGTCATGTTGATGCACAAATTCCTCCCCACCAGCAGCACCACCATCTCCACCGCAGTCTCTGGATAGTCAGCCCACAGCGACGCAGAGCAGCAGCGACACGCACAGCTCCGCACATTCACACTTTTAATGTGAAGCTGCTGGTTTCCTGACAGCGCGTGAAGCTTCAACCAGCACCCGGGAAAGCCTCCTGCTGTCGCGCGGAAAACTCCCCGAAGTGACTCCCGTGTTGTTCTCATTATATGGAGTTTAACAGCTGCTAAACTGGTGCTTTTTTAGGTGAGTTAATCTGTTTTTAAAGTCGGTTACATGTGCTGTGTGCACGCGCCCTTTGTGGGAAAATCACTGTAAAATGCAAACATCATTTTCGTGTGTGTAGGGTTTTTCCGCAGCACTCGTGGCGATGTTGTGCTACTTCTGTGGATAACAGCAGTGTTTCTGTACACGATATCCCATGCTAATATATCCGGTAGTTTATACTTTTGTTGTCGACCATTCGGTTTGTTTCCTCCGCAGTGCGCAGACTCGTAAAGAGGAATTGAAACTTCTGCTCGTGTTTTGTTCATGGTTTGTCTGTCATTCATATAATGAGAGTCTAACGCTTCTGGAAAATCCTCATTGAAAATAACGCTTTAAAATGCTGAAACAACTAGTCATTTGATCTATAAGTCAATTACAGAAAATGGATACTGACATCAATGAAATTATCGATTAGTCGTTTAAATCTTTCCCTGGTTTCAGCTAATCACATTTGGCAATCTACTTTTCCCTCCTTTATGTCCCTGGGAAATTTAATCTTGGGATGTTTTGGAAACAAAACAAGCAACAATTGAAGATTTTGTTTTCAGGAAACCAGCAAGCTTCTGGCTTTTTATAGACAAACCTATTAATTAACACATTTATACAAAAATAATTGTTAGTTGCAGCCCTAGAAGGATGCAATTACGACTGGCACTAGTATTTTAAAATCCATGAATTTTATGAATATATCCTTGATACATTTATTGTTTGGTCTTTTAACAAATCAAAAAAGTAAATATAAATTCCAATAGAGCCATATTTTGACATAAAATGGTTTGTCAGACCACCAATCCGAAACGTAAAAAGATTCAAATGAGTATAGCCTACATTTAAGAGGATGAAAATCATATGACCACAAATAATCATAATTTCAAAAACAAGTCGGTTAAACTATAGCTGGAAATTCACTGATTATTGTTTCTCGTGGAGTAAACTTTATATGTTTGGGCTTTCAATTGATCCTATCAGTATTTAAAAAAATATATAGAACAATTATTTATAAATCATTGAACAATAGATTTTTGTTGCGTTGCAATTCTCAATATATCAATAAATCTGGTTATTTCAGGTTAGGTCAGGTTATTTTACGTTGCAGTTTTTAGTGCTCATCCCTTAACTGAAGTTTCTTACCATCAGAGTTCTTCAGAGGAGGCTTTTTATAATTTAATTCCCAAAACACCAACTACTATATCATTCAATATCCCTTAAATATGTTTGATCAAAAAAGCGCTTTTTTCAGAGTAAAAGCGACGTGTCATGTCATCAGAAACCTTTGACCCCATTTGAAAGATGACAAGGCAGAAGAGCTCGTGTCACTTCTGTTACGAAACTGCTCAGCACTTTTTTGGAAAACATATTTTCAAAGATTAAGTAAGAGTGTCTTCACTCCTATACAAAGTCCTGCATGTTGGACGTTTAGGTCCAAGCTGACTGCACATGCTGACGTGTTCCCAAACTGCTGTGCTCTGCGGTTCGCCATCTGCCAACAGAGACTGTCTGTAAATGGTTAACTGCCTCGCTTTTGTTTCGTATTAAAATTCTGCACTAATCCAGGCCTGTGATTTATGAATAACAATCAGCCTTGATTCCAACAACAACAACACATATTTAGTTCTGCTATAATTCCCATTTCTTCTCATTTAGAATGTGCTTAAAGTGAATATTTAACCTAATGAACACCACATTCTGATATCATTTAAAAAATGAATCAAAGAGGCATTTCTATAAGTGAAGCACTTATTATCTGCATGGTCTTCTTCTCACTTCCAACCAGCCATTTGATGAAATAATATAACAAAACCAATCAGTATCACCTGTGGTGTGAACAGTCAAGACATTAGGTCACACACACATTGATAGTTCATATAAATCAATAAACTGCTCGAACCAACCGCTGTGTTCATGCAAGCTTAAGCAATGCCTCATATGTTAGCCAGGCCCTGTGCACAGTGTTTTCGCAGTAATTCTGTTAACCCCCTTAAAGCCTGATCCGAAGAGTTGGACAGGCTGATATATCCAGGCACAATGGCCCTTTATGGAGACTGAGATCTACCGTATTCATGTTGCTTTTAACTCTACCTTCAGTTAAATCTTAGGTCATTTCACTCCTGTCATGTCTCTCCTTTTTTCTTCGCTCACTGTACAGTATATTGGCATTAAGAGCTCCCTGTTTCTGCATCACTCTCCCTCCCTGTTCTGTCTCACACTTATGGTCATATGACCGGCAAACAGGCTGTAGAGTTAGAGGCGAGGGTACAGAGTCGGTTGTGAAACTCTGTAAAGCTGCAACCAAGAGAACAAACTAGCAAAAACCTCCTTGTGTTTTTCTCAGTAAAACACCATATCTGATAGATGCTGGTGATACAGAAAACAATAACAAATGGTTAGTTATAAACTGTCACTTTGCTGCAACTCTAAAACGGTCACTAGTAGGATCGGTGTGTTTCTTTTTCATGCTACAATTAGATCAACTGTTGTTATTGATTATAAGAGAGGCTAATGCAATCTTACAGGCAGAATAACAGGGGGATTTTCTTGCCCTCCAACTCCAGAGCTGATTGGTTCGGCCTCTAGCCGTAGCAGCGAGTAAGACTCTGAGGAATGCAGATATTTTCATGTTTGCTGGATATACTCTGGATTTGTAATGTTTTCAAGACTTGCTCCGGACTGACTTCCAGCAAGGTACTTTTGTACAGAAATATGATCTCTTGACTTTCGACCACCAGTGTTTCTCCAGTGCGTTCTTTTTTGGTGTTTACTGAGTATTTAGAAACAATTTGCCAAGGAAAACACACTGCAAGTTGGACTTTCTACGCTGGAATTTGTTGGAAACTCTTAAAGCATTGCCATTAAATATAATAATATGTCCAAACTTAGAAAGTATAAATAAGAAATAGGCGTAGGAATTTGAGAACTATTTGTTTTTCTGGATCACTTACTGTCACAATAATTAGCTTATTGATTAATGGTATGATATGTGGATGAGATCTGGATATTTCCTGGTGCTTGTTTGTTATAGGAATGTTCATCTAAATGTGAAGGTAAGGTGTCATTGACAAAACTTGATGACCCCCTCCCATTTCTTCTATTGGGTTCAGGTCGAACTTCCTGATTGCTAGTTTGATGCACAACGGGAAAAATATCAACCTATATTCACCTTGTTCTCGCTCCTCCTTCTTGTTACTGACAACTCTAAGATTGGTAACGGAGTGGAGCGCGGCGCTTACCTCCAAACTAACCGGCAACTACCACGACCCTCGATAGTGAGCACTCAGAGAGCCCATGTTGTTATGCTACTGGATCATTAGCCTTGTAAGCGACACTACTGGCGGCCATACTTTATAAATCTTATAAAGAAATGTAAAAAACAATAATTTAGGACCCGACGACATTTGAAAGAAAACTAAATTATAAAATCATAATATATTTTCATTACAGAGCAATTATGTATAGGATATTTAATATTGCATTCACATAACATTGCTAATGTCCTATGTTTATTATCATTATATATGAGTCAAATAACATTGTCTTAAAAGTCCTAATCAAATCTCAATTATTTCTCGGATATAAGGGTCAACAAAAGTAGTTACATGGTCTACTAATAACTCTAATCAGAAACTTTTACCAGAAATCCTACCGGTCTTTGTAATGCATTCTTTATTTGCCTTCTCTTTCAATCAACAACAAATGTAGTAACCCTTGAGATTTAATCAGAAATAAGATAAGGAGTGTTTGGAAATGTTGCTGCGGTTGGTCAGCTTAGTGTCTGGCATGAATTCATTCATACCTTGTTTTTCTTTAAATAGTGTGAATGTGTGTTCTGGATATGGCCGCTGGCTGCAGTCATTCCTCTGTGACTCAGACACTTTGGCTCTATTTGCAGTCTCCTGTTTGGCCAGGATCTTTGAAGAAGAAAGGAAGGAAAATAGTTTGAACTGGTCTTGATTAACAAATTATCCAGTTGATGTATGAAGGACTGAGTGGGGGAAACTTCTGAAGCAATTGGAGTCAGGACTCAAAGAGACACAATGGAGAGCTGGAGCTTTGATGGCAACCAAACACTGACGGGCTATTTGGAGCTTCGGCCGGAGAATTCAAAAGACATGTCACAGGGCCACGAGTTGACCACACGGTGGAGATGCCACAATCAATTCTGAAGAACCCTCCTGTAGCTCCAGGTTTGAACTAGTTCAGAGTGTAATAATCAACATTCTTCAATAGATAGACTAAACAGCTGGGGACACTGAATCACATTTGTTGTTGCTTATGGTTCGGGCGGGGTCATCTACACCCCGAGAAGGATGTGTTCCAGGTGTCTCACGACAATAACTATCTCTGACAGACAGTTGCCCGGTCTTAAACTGGCAACATCAACAATATGCTCGGGCAGCCCCTCCTTATGGGAGATAACGGCTGCTCAAGCTGCGTCAGAGGGCGAAGGAGGACATGCAGGGCAAATGATTCCCCAACAGGCTGATCTAGCTTTTTCAACTTCTGACTGTTGTGGCTCTACTGGGATTGATTATATATTTCTGGTCTATCAAAAAAAATGAAATTAGATATAACCTGTCAAGTGAGCATGTTAAAAATGCCGTACAATATCAAATCTGAAGAGGAGACATTTGGTCAGAATACAGCTTGTAACGAAAGCCTTTCTTACCGCATATCTTATGTTATCTTTAGACGTTTTATTTACTGAGAATGTTTTAAAATAAACCATGCTAAATACAGAAAGGCCATTTCCTTGGGCACAAAGCTGAATCTTTCTTATCTGTTTTAGCTGCAAGGAAGTGAAACCTTGAGTTAGTGACGCTCATACACCCACACACTCACACACGAGGGGGAAACTTCTTATTGCCATTTGATTTCTGGTTGCATTAGCTTCTTCTCAGACCACTAAAAGTCTCTCAATGTTCTTAACTAACTCTGTTTTTTCTTTTTTTTGCAGGATAAGCAACACAACAGAAGTTAAAGAAATCTCTGCCACCATATATCGGATTGTGCAGCTATACACATTTGACAACCACTTCCCCTTTTTTCATGTGGAGCAGTACATTGCAGAGGAATCTCTGAAATGTCAGAATGGATGACTTTCAAAAGCCTGAAACCTGTAAAATCTGGATTTACAGCGATTTAACGATGATGGTTTGACTTGTGCTTTGGGAAATCTCTGACCTTGACTCAAAGGCTCAGTCAGTCATGTTGGAGCCTGGATCTGTGGACGAGGGAGTATTATGTGGTTCACCATCAGTCTGCAAGTTTGTTTACCCGCCGTATCTGTGCAGGGAAACATTTGAGGTGAATGTATTTGATGTGGCAACAGGTTTTTTCTCTGGACTTCTACCTCTACCTGCTGGTTGTTTCCAGGATCACCAATGGATAGTACCGGTAATCCGTCCCTAATAATTAGGACATTTCTACAAACTGAATAAATTAGTGTGTTCAATTTGAGGCAAAATGGAGGAACAAATGGCATCAGCTCAGAAAGTCTAACCCCAATGGGATAAGAACAAAAAACGTTACAAGACTGTAAGACTGAGGTTATTACTCAGAAACATTGGACTACCTCTCTCCCAGAATGCATTGCCCCTTGAGGAAGAAACGGCCCACACGGGACTCTGATTTCTCGGCCATCGCCGTCCCCTCGATGCAAGGTTCAGGTTATCTTGACTACAACGTCGAGACCCACGCTTCCAGATCTCTGGAGGTCATGGAGGAATTCAGACGGCAGGAGATGCTGTGTGACCTCGTGCTGCACGTCACATACAAGGAAAGGACGGTGGACTTCAAGGTGAGACAACTAATTCATGCCATTTTATCAGATTCTTCTACGAGTTTTCTGTTCAAATTCTAAGAAGATTTGAGTAGAAACACGGTGACATCTTTGAAGAGATCAGGTGCACATGGATCCTTCAGGTGTGATGTGATTATTTGACCCTGTCTCCTTCAAAAATAATCCAAGGTACACTGTGGGGGTTGGAGAAAGAATGAAGGGTAAAATAACGCTTTCAACTGTCAATGTCATTTTAAATACATTATTACTCAGTAAAGACATTTTAATTTTGCACAAACCCTAAAATGTGACAAAGAAGAATTGTACTTTTACCTGTTTGTGAGACAGTATACTATCTATGTGTTGCATTTTGTGTAAATACTCCAGCATCTCTTAAATCTCACATAAGTAAAATAGGAATTTGACTGTTTGTGATTTTCTATAGATATTATGGTAGCATTGTTGTCAATAATTCTACTGCCAGAATAGTATGGAGCCCTGACACTGACTTCATGTAGTAAGAGCTTGTCAACAAATCACAAAACCAACAATACATACTTTTGAGGTTACTGTTTAGCCCACTGCCTGCAACATGCAGTTTAATGTATTTTAAAAGTGAATGCAATGTTCCTTTTTAACCTAATAAATAAAAATACATGTTCCCCAGGTTCACAAGGTGGTGCTGGCCTCCTGCAGCCCATACTTCAGAGCCATGTTCACCAGCAACTTCAAAGAGCGTCGCGCCTCGGAGGTCACTCTGCGCGATGTCTGCCCCCAGGTGGTGGGAATACTTATTGACTTTGCCTACACCTCCCACATCACAGTGGGAGAGAAGTGTGTGTTGCACATTCTTATGGCTGCTATGAGGTAAACATACAGAATCAAACAGCAGCACACAGTATTTTCTGTATTCTGATGCTCTTTTTTAGGATCAAACACTTATTTGCATCTAAAAAACGTTTCGGGAAAATTATTCTTATTATTATGCTGCCATTTCCTATTTCTTTTTTACAAGGTATCAGATGGAGGACGTGGCCAGGGCATGCTGCGATTCCTCAATAATCACATGAGCCTGCTGAAGTGTCATGGCATCGCCCGTTTTTCTGAGGAGATCGGCTGCTCCGAAATGCAACAGCGGAGTCGAGAGTATATCAACACACACTTCAGTGAGGTGAGGCGCTAATACAAAAAGTGCAAACAGACTCCTGCCATGTTGTTCTTGTGAGCCAAAGCCCCTGACAGGCATAGGGTCAGTTTTAAAGCTGTATCATTGTGTCTTCAGGTCTCACAGATGAGGATTGTTTTAACGTGAACAGTAACGTATCAGGCATTAAGCAGGGGTAGACATCCGGGCCAGCAGATTTTCATTATCAGCAGCCCCACCATTGTAACCACTGGCCCAGAGCATTCGTCCAAAACATCGACTCTAATAATGAAGAAAATGAACACATTTGTTGCAATAGTAATTTATGCACAAACTTACTTGTCTCGACATTTGAATCATCATTCTTCCTCATGTTCCTCAATTGTTGCAATATGTTTGGTTTATACATAATTATATTGTGGTCATTGTTAAGAAAAAAGTCGGTGACATTTCAGCTATGAGTATTATTATTTGTATAACACACTTTCTGCCTTCCTGTCATTATCAGGAGTTAGAAATGTAATGGCTATGTAATAGATTAGATTAGAACCTTCATTCTCCTAAACTGCTGGGACATTTCCCTGAAGCCAATATACCTTTATATGTTCTACTCTTCACTTACTTGTCAGCATAGGTCGGCATTGATGTACAGAGCAGACAAAAGACCTTGTTTATATCATCATAATGAAACCAACTCCATCGATCAAGGCAGTGTGGCTGAAACTTTCTCTCCCTCTTCTTCTCATCTTCTCTCCTTTAACTCCTCGGGTGACTTTCTTTTATTTGAAGATTTTTTTTGCCCGGCGTTTGTCCGGTTACCGGTGGTATTAAAAACATTTTGGCGAATGGTTAGGTTGCGTGAAAGTCTGTAGTGAAGGCTCCGCAGCAAACAGCTGTTTGCTTTTCATCCAACAACCAACCGACTCATGAAACACTATGTTTTAGCGTGAAGAAACGAAACAATTTAACAAAATTGCTAGTCAGAATACCAATACTACAGGACAATGAGATTTTATGTCTTACTTTTTTTGTTTTTGTTTTTTTTAAACCAATATTTTTAGTACGTTATGCTGGCCCGGGGGGTCTACATAGCGCTTCCGGGCCAGCGGGCAATTTATAATGTCTTGCCCTGTATTAAGTCACCAAAGAAGCTTTAGAGATTTACAGATTATATTCAGTTTTTTGCACAAAGTAAATTAGTCACGCCATAGCATCGGCACATCTCATTGGTTGCTACTCTGCTTTATATGTTGCTCTTGTGTTTTGATAACTGTGGGAACAGTGCAGTCACCAGTTGTCAGGGTCAGGTAATCGGTTGCATCAAAGTACTTCATGCTTACTTTTTGCCAGAACATTGCAATTTCTTTCCCTTTCCCAGGCACCTTTTTGGAAATCTTTCTATGTGAATGCTACATCTGTGTCTTCTACGCCTACCTACCAGCTCACATTAATCCTGGAATAATACTTTGCATAAGAAAATAAGATTCAGTAGTCAAATGCCTTCATGTGACCGTGCTCTTGTGTCCTAGGTGACGAAAGAAGACGAGTTCTTCAGCCTCTCTCACTGCCAGCTGCTGGAGCTCATCAGCCAGGACAGCCTCAAGGTGCTCTGCGAGTCCGAGGTGTGTTGCTTTAAAATAACTTATTGAAACACTGGCAGAAATCTAAGATAATTTTGCAGTCATTGTTCTGCTCTTATTTCAACTCTTATCTTGTTTTTTTTCTCTTTATTGTTTCTATTGGTTTTTTAATTGCTTTGGTAAAGGCATCATTTAGCTCCAATTGAGCAAAATGTGTTTTTTCCCCAAACTTGTTTGTTTAAAAATGTATAAGAATAAGAATCTTGCTTTGGTGTAAATGGTGCATGCATAGACAAACAAAGAGGAATACGTTTTAGAAAGTAGCACATGTATATACACAAAATATAAATGCACAAAAATCTAACTAAAGTTAAAATATTATAAATACTATAAAGTGGAGAGGTAGCGTTGAACAGACATGTGTGTCCAGATTTGCTCATGTGTCATGTGTCAAGTGTCAAGTCCTGTAATTATGTATGTAATTAAGTTAATTAATAAGAGAATCAGGTCTTTTTTTTTAAATAGCAACATTTTTACCACAATACAGAAGAGTTAGAAGTATCAGTTGATGATACTGAAATGGTAAATTTGGAGTCATTATTTTTTTCTGTGTATTATCTTATTTGTCACATAACAGTCATCTAATGCTTAATAGGTTAAACGTAGAACCTACTGTATGCTGTTTGTCTACGTTCTGAAAAGAGTGTGTCTAGATGTAAATAACAAATCACATACTGTATTAACATGTCTAATTAAATCCATGCCAGGTGTATAAGGCCTGCACAGACTGGGTCCGCTGGGATATGGAGGGTCGAGCCCAGTACCTGCACGCCCTCCTGAACGCGGTCCATATCTACGCCCTGCCGCCTAAGTTCCTAAAGAACCAGCTCATGTCCTGTCCCATCCTCAGCAAGGTAAACTACAGCCTTATGTTATGTCTGGATGGTTATGGAAATGAACATATAAATTAGATGTGTGCTTATAAATATTGACTTATGTCCTTTATTAATATTTATTTCTGTAAAAACTGTTATATTTAAAAGTCGTGTCAATCATCATTAAGTTACCCACTCATTTCTGCCCTTTTTTTATATCTCCAGGCCAATTCCTGTAAGGACTTCCTGTCTAAAATCTTTCAGGATATGACATTGAGGAAGCTACCTCCTGGCCCTAATCGCGGCACTCAGCTCATCTATGTGGCCGGCGGGTAATTATGAGGAATATTGTCCTCCACATCTTTGCTTTGGTTACACTCTTATTGGAAGACACTATTTTAGACCATAACGATCAATGTAGACATATTTCTTATATTGACTAATGAACATTCTTGCTAGGCCTTATCTAATGTGTCAGACTGGGGGAGACTAAAACAGTTATTAAGATTGTTTTATTTTTTAATTTGTGTGTTTTGACTGACATGATTGATTTAGTCATTGGCCTTTCCTTGTGGGTTTTTCTCTCATGTGTACTTACATCTATAATCAGATACATTTGATATGAACCATTTCCTCTCTGTTCAGATACCGGCAGCATTCACTGGCCTCCATGGAGGCTTATGACCCGCGGAGGAATGTGTGGCTAAGGCTGGCTGACATGGGGTCTCCATGCAGTGGTCTGGGGGCCTGTGCGCTGTTCGGCCTGCTGTACACTGTAGGTTGCACCAGTAGTTTCACACTACCAAAGAAACATTTTAAAACATTGCAGAGACTTTTACTTTCTGAATGACACTCAAAAACATGATTATGCGGATACATAATGAAATGTGAAATATAAAACTGGGAAGCTTAAGTTCATATCTTTGCAACTTTCATGCCAATTTTAACAGTTGCCTTGTGGTGAAAGGTGCTATAATAATAAACCTGCCTTACATGTAATTGTTCTCGAAATATTTTCCTAGCCCCATACCTTTGATCCAGTTTATCAGTTTGTACTGCCCTCACTGAGCAAAGGCCTGCAACCTTGGGTGCTGTGCTCTCAGTGTTTTATCTCCTTATTCCTGCCTGTTGGCGCCAGCTGGTAGAGGTGTAATGGTTTTATCTTGTTATGCACAATGTTGATTATTCTCTCAGAACCAGCTAAATACATAGGTCTGGGGTAGAGATCTTCAGAATTTGTTTGGCAACTGCTGTGTCACCTCGTGGCTGCAGCACCTGTCTTGTCAGTTCTCTGGCCGTTAACTCCATAATACACCATCAGTGTTTGGCCTCCAAGTTCCAGCTCTCCCTGAGTCTCTCTGAGTCCTGTCTCCATTGCTTCAGAAGTTTCCATCACAGTAATATCTAAGAGTGAAATTAGTTGACCCACTTTATTTTTCTTGCTTTTATTCCTTCACCTGTCATACCTAAATGGACTCAAGTTTGTTGGGCACGTGTTTGTTTTTGACATAATCTGTGTTCAGGTCGGAGGCAGGAACCTGTCGCTGCAGGACAACACGGAGTCCAGCGCGCTGTGCTGCTACAACCCGATGACCAACCAGTGGAGCCAGCGAGCCTCGCTCAACACCCCCAGGAACCGGGTGGGGGTGGGCGTGGTGGACGGCTGCATCTACGCTCTCGGAGGTTCCCAGGCCTCCACACATCACAACACGGTGGAGAGGTGAGACGTGTGCGAGGATTCATTTATTTAACTAGGCTCTCGAGATGTAATTTGATTTTAATGACATCGTATTTACTACTATGAATTCAATGAGCACGCATTTCCTCACACATTCTTAGATTAAGTGCATTTACCTCAGTGTAAGTATGGGTAATGGCATGAGAGAGATGAAATGAATGGCAACCTAAAGAGCAGTCAAAAAGTTTGCAGGTATTCCACTTAGCCTAATTAGACAACATCACAGGCTCTTTGAAAACATGCTGAGACATTTACCAGGAATGTCGATCAGGCGGGGAAAGCTTTAAATCTTTGTTGCTGCCACCATCAAACAGGGAGACGTTTTAATGCTGTCATAAATCAGTTTCAAATCACTTCAAATCAAATAGACTCGAGACAAATTACAATCGTACTTTTGGCTTTTTTGAAATGTGCTTCAAATGTAACATCAATCCCTTGTTGTATTGAAGGGTATAGATTTCTAAAAGGTGCTGGTAACAAGAGAAATATTAGAACTCATCAGAAGCCACTTTGATGTCTTTTCATGAATAGCTGCTAAATATAATGAAAGATGATATAGCTGTTGGATTGAGAACTCAATGTGAAACGCAACAAAGGAGATTAGAGCATTTATAGTAACAATGGTTTGCAGAAAGAGTCTCTGCTCTTGAGGATTCATGCTGAATGAAGCCAATCAACACGTAAGAGATTCAACAGGGAGTGATACCTCCTTGTTCAAATGTGCTTTATTGGGATAATGTATTGTCATTTATTTTTTATATAATCTGCCTTGCTACATGTAGTAATTTCAGGATTCAGAGCACGGGGTCAATGAGAGCACGTTGACTCAAGAAGTAACTTGCATTTAGTGCTTTTTCTCAAGGGCACTTTGCCAATGCTTGAGGGTATGTGATGTAACATTAGCCGCCCTCCTATCAGCGGTTTACAGCTGGAACACACCCAGTGCTGAGAACTGATCTAACCATTAACCAGGGAACAAACACTCATTATGCAACTTGCCTCATCACGATCCCACATTATTAGGATTTCTTTCGGTACTAAAATAATTAAACAACAGTTTCTTGCTGAGAGCTGGATGAGAGTGTTAATATATCTGTAATATCTGCCCGTTAAATATAAAGCTACTGCTAATAGGTGGTATACCTTTACCCAAAGTCAAAAACAGCCATTTGGGCTCCGTCTAAAGGTAAAACAAAAGCACCTGCCAGCACCTTTTTATATATTTTTTTATTTTATTTGTACAAAAAGCTCCCCTTAAAATGTCCCCTTGCTGTTTTACTTTAAGTGAAATGTATAGTGTGGCACATAAACCCCCATAAAATCATCATTTATTATTTTGCCAGTCAATTTTCATATGGATAGAATACAAAAGATATATGCTAATCATTGGCAGTTTGCCCTCCTTCCAGTTTCTATGCTAAGCTATGCTAACTGTCACCTGACTGCCTTTCACGGACAGATATAGGTGTGGCGTCAATCCTGTCTTTATCTCTTAGCACGAAATCGATTAAGACTATTGGGAAAAAATGCACATCCTACAAGAAGATATGTTGAGACATGTATCTTATAGTATGAGATGAGACTAATCAGCGTGTTATCTTTCTTGTCTCTGTCTGCCGGCAGTGATTTGACAACTTCTTTGGCTTCAAATAAAGCTTGTCAATAGTTGCCAAACATGAACGCCAGCTTAACTTAATCCACTTAAAGTTGACCGGCTCGTGTAGAAGGAGAACGTTGCCTTACTCAACCACTGCCCTGTGAATGATTGAATGTTTTGGAGCACTGACTCGTGAATTTGAATATTTGTATTGACTCATATTTAAGGAATGTTAAACATAGACTGCATTCACTCACTGCACAACTGCTGTTTGGTTTTCAGGTGGGATCCAGAGTCTAATCGCTGGTCCTTTGTTTGCCCGATGTCGGTGGCTCGTCTGGGGGCAGGAGTGGCGGCGTGTGGGGGGGTTCTGTATGTGGTGGGGGGGTACGATGGGCAGAACCGCTGGGACACTGCTGAGAAATACCAGCCCGACACCAACACCTGGCAACAACTGGCCCCCATGACGATTATACGCAGTGGACTGGGTGAGTGTGTGTGTGCACTCCTGTCTTTATGAGATCCAATCTGATTGGACGAATAAGATATGTTTATGAGTTGATAAATGAGCTGCATATAGGCTGGTTTGAAGATAATTAAGTGGTATATTTTTATTATTTTCATATTATACAGAGTAAGATAATCTGAAACTTTTTTGATCAATCATTTTTATAAATGTTTTATGCAAAAATGACAGAAAATGCAGTTTTTAGCCTCTCAAATATTAGGAATCCCTACTTTTCTCAGTTTTATATCATATATGTTATGATATATATTTCCGATTGACAAAACAAGAGAAATTGAAAATCTTGAATCGACATTTTCCACTACTTCCTGACATATAAAGCACAAGATTATTCAATGTATCTAGGGATTAAAAGGCAGAACAATTGACATGATGATGTCAATTGTGATAATGACAATAATTAATTTGCTGCCCCAGTACGGAGCGGTATTGATCTTCTCAACTAACTGTAAGCAAAGCAAATTGAATAAGCCACCTTGCTGAAATGTCTAACTAAGTTCCCTCTCTGGTCTTTGCAGGGCTGGTGTGTCTGAACTCTCACCTCTATGCGATAGGAGGGTATGATGGGCTGAGCCAGCTGTGTTCTGTGGAGCGTTACAATATAGCCAGGAACCAATGGGAGCCCAGGGCCTCCATGCAGTACTGCCGCAGTGCCCACGGAGTCACGGTGCACCAGGGACGCATCTTTGCCCTCGGTCAGTTACAGCACCGTTCATAACACAATAAGGCTCACACTAAAGTCATTTCACTGAAATAAAACTTGAAATGTCTCTAATATATAACACAAGACTTGCAGTTCAGATCTTTTGGATTGTTGCGTACATGCATGTAGAAGCAACAATAATACAGACTTGTTAGTAATTTGATACTTCTGATTATTAAGTAGAGTGTTAGGTCAGGAGGTTCAGTGTGGCTCAATGACTAAGTGTTATTTAAGTAAATAGAGTAAAGCATGGCTCAGATGTAAAGATTCAAGATTCAAAGATTGTATTGTCATATGCACAAAGCTACAGTGTAGAAATGGCAATGAAATGATTGTGACCTGAGCTCCTCCAACAATGCAACATATATAATGAAATACAAAATACAAAATAAAAAGTAGTGCAAAAAGACTATATACATGTCAATAGACAGTATATAAAGAGTTATTAATACATGAGGCGAAGGAAAATTCCAAGTATCAGATCGAGATAAAAAAATCAATTGAAAATCTAAGAGAAAAATGTACCTTTTTAAAAAAACGTATCAATACTCTTTTCTTATAGATAAATTGCTCCCTAAGGGGTTTATTTACAGCACCATTAAACATGTGGCTTGTGTGTCTCTGTGTTTGTCCCTCCAGGAGGCTTTAACCAGAACGGCTTCCTGTCCAGTGTTGAGTGTTACTGCCCAGACAGAAATGAATGGACGTGCGTAACCAACATGCCCGTCGGACGCAGCGGGATGGGCGTCGCTGTTACCATGGAGCCCTGTCCCGGCAGCCTGCCAGAACAAGAGGAGGATGAGGATGGAGCCTCATGATGAGTACGAAATCTGTTGAAGTCTCAAGTATTGAATACAAGTGGTGCTGCTTTTCAAGAGAGAGTTAAGTGCATTCAATAAAAAAAACATTCCAATATGAAAACTCCTCACACATCCCCGATCTCATTTGTATCGTCCCCTTGAAGTACTGCAGATGTAGATTATGCAGAAACGCTGAAAAGGACGAATATTTCTACATCTGCTCGGGAAAACTGTTAGCATGACAGTGACCTCACAATGAACAAGGTGCTACAGATGTAATCATGGATAATGGTACTATTTAATTTAGTATTATTATCTCTCACCTGTTTCAATCACTTAGCGTTTTTAATGGTAAATGTACAAAGTGAATGGCCTTCAGTGTCCTGATTTCTAAATCCTCACTCTGTGTTGTATCACTACCTCTTCTCTGTGTCTCTGTCTATTTGAGCACTTTTCTGATTGTGTTTTCATTGTTTTGTGCCAACACAGTTTCACCGAAAACTGCCATTTTTTGTATTGTATTCATTTTTGTTTGTTTGTATGTGCATTCACAATATTTAATTGTGTGTCTCTGAAAATAAAGTTAATCAAATTTGTATTTCTGCACCATATATGTTCATCATTGTAACTCAAATTATGTCATTGTGTTAGCAAAGTGTTTTTACTGACCTCTGGTGCTCTCACTTATTAGGAGTTCCAACATGTAACAGCACATGTGCGACCACTAGATGGTGGGATAAGTCAAAAAACAGCTGTACGCCACCACATGAACATATGTAATTTTTCGATGTAAAAGCACCCTAAAGGAACTCCAAGCTTAAAAATATAAAAGCAAAACAACCTAAATCTGTCCGATCTTGACAAACAGAAACATTAAAATACATAGAATAATAATTGATAATTGTCCATGTTTTGTTGAGACCGAATGATTACTCACAGCTACCTTTTATTTAAGCAGTGTTGAATGATGACAAAGGGTACTGTAGTGGCTTCAGTGTTAGTCATCAGCTGCAGACGTCACTTTGTGTGTTTACTTATCTCTCTCTGCACGGCTGCTCTCCATCTCCTCCATGGCTCACCTGCAATTATCCCAGCAGGCCGCCAACGAAGACAGTTCTGGACCGAGCAATTATTGAAATGCATGTTGAGATTTCTGACAGAGAAGAGTGAAGTTAAAATATGCATGTTTACCTTATTGCTTTGCTGAAATAATAGATAGGCAGGCGATTGTGGTTTGTTTGTTTGTTTGTCTCCATTTGAATGCATCTCCAATTTCAGACTCTTGTACATTGTGAGCGTTCATTATTGACACAGCGACCTGTTGGACGACGTGCAGAGATGATGATGATGATGAAGAAGAAGAAGAAGAAGCAGCAGAGCTCTGGTTGTGTGTTCGGGGCCCCAGAGAGGGAGAATGAGTGGAGGGCTCTTACTCACTACTTAAAGTCCCGCATAAGAGCAAGTGACTCACATGGTGAACGCATGACGCAAGCACCTCACACATGGATACACGAATACGTCCGTTCACAAACATATTTGTTCTTTAGCTGTCACACACGCATATGTGTGTGTGTGCAAAACAAAGCTGGCTGTCTCTTATTCACAGGCTGTGGAAACAGATTTGCCTCAATGCTTTCATTGTCTCATGAGGGGGGGGGGGAGAGGACTACAGAAAGAGATGAAGCACTGTACAGCGGAGAGGTTTGCCTTCCATGGAGAATCAGTGGAGGGAAATTAGTTCGCACACAGATGTAGCTGTTGTATAAGTCCATCTTTTGCATGCTCACTGCTCCTAATGCCGAGCAGTTGCACATCCCCAAGAGGAATAGTAGGAGAGAAGAGGCAAGGCTGAGAAAGACTGATCCCTTTTATGAAAACTGTACATTTTGCTTTATTATTTATCATGTGAACAAAGATCTGACTTTGGTGCTTAGTGTTGGATACTTACACCAGCAGAATGTTGGCCTGAGAAGTGCAACAGAAGATCAGCAAGTGTTTATCTTGAATGCTTAATTTATTGGATGTTACATTAAAATGTATGGCCACAGGAAGTGATCAAATCTAAAAGAGCTGATCTGATATAGAGCTTGCAACTACGCAGCATGCAAAAATATGCGTGTAGGGATTAAAAAGTCTATAGGAGCTTAGAAATACTAAAAGTGACGTATGGAGTGAATTTTAAAACTGTCTGGCCTTTTTCAAGTCTTTGCAGAGTAAAGGAATCCTAAAGGGGCAGTCTGAGTATTACAATAAGTGTCATGTTGGTTATGGCTTATTCTGCCTTATTCAGATTTGCAGGCAGGCAGGAGGTAGAGTCCAGCCTCTATAAGATCAGAAGAGGTGGGGGGGCTTTAACGCCGGTGGGCCTATAGCTGGGTTTGTGTAGGTGTGACCTTGGGAAGTGATGACCTCATCAACATCCCTGCCTGCAAAGCTAATCTGTTACATTCTGAAGGATGCTCCGACGATGGAGCCACCCATGAAGGTGACATTGGTGAGAGGGGCTGGTGGCGTGGCATCCCCCCCCCCCAACGAAACACGCACAAACATATTCAAATAAGGAAGCATGTGAGTAGGCTACTATGTGAATGCCAATACTGTACCTGACTTAGTCACAGAAGAAAGGGGAAGCACTGTAACTACATGAAACTTTATGTAAAACTGTAAAGGGTTTACATCAGCTGATCGCCCAGACGCATCCAGCAGGTGTTGCAGCATGATGGACGTTAAAAGGTCAGACAGCTGACCCTAAATAATGCCAGATTTCTGCTCTGTGACGAGCAAATTAAACACTTTTTCTACCTTTATTTTCCAGGAAATGTTAGAGTTAACTTTCTCATTCATACGCAGCACCCAGCAGGTCCGGGTTACACCCTTGCTCAAGAGTTTATTCACCCTCAGAGCTCTTGCTGACCTGGATTAAGTGTTGCTAACATGTATGACGGTGTCAATTTATAGCGTGTGCACAACTATCTCTGCCCTCCTCTCTGTCAACAGATGCCCTTGAGCAAGGCACGTCCAGCTGACGCAGTGGAGCTGATCAGTGAAGAGCAGCAGAAGACAGACGGTTGAATGTTTGTGAGCAAAATGAGTGGGAAGCAGAGCATATGTGCTCAGCAAGAGTACCGCTGCATACATTTTAGAAGCAGTATATACATTAATTAACACCACAGGAGAAACAATTATTTTGTTTGACTTATTTTATTACATTGATCCTGATATATTCATTTGACTTGTTCTGCAAGCTTATATTGTAAATAAAGTTTCATTTGAATATGGGACCTTTAAGGCTCGCACACGGATGTACATGCACGAGCTCACACGCATACATATGCATGCTCAGAACTGTGTATGCCCCGCTCTTGAGCTCCACATAAGCCACTTTTTGCGTGAATAAGGTAAAAGTATCTACATTCATATTATCTGCAGGAGGTAAAGAAGTAGTCTATGAAGTTGACTAAAACCATGAACATTTAATTATTCTCTGCATAAGTATGTACTTTAAAAAGTCATATTTTCGTAATCTGTTTACTAAAACGCATACGCTTATTTAATAAAATGTCTTCACATGTTTCTAGGGATGTCTGTGGCTCTCACTAGTGACTTCATATTGACCATTACTTTTAAAGACTATCTAGCATCATTATGAAATTCCTCTAACATTTCTGCAGTGACATAAAGTTTGAAGATCTTCTCATTATATAGTTATTATAATTATATGCAGGGACTGCTGTTGTTTTGTATTAGTGATCGGAGCCTGCCTGTTGTGAGCATGTAGTGCAGCCGACTGGTCTGTGTGTTCACTTCAACTGTGTTTCTCTCAGACTCGGAGGAAAGCATGAGTGGAAGGTTTCAAGCTCCCCTTTCACTGAATTGATTCTACTATGGGTCCTCCAGAAACACGGCGCAGACACACGGGTGAATTGAGCTTTAATGTGTGCCTCATGTTCACCCTTCCTTACACTTTAAACAACCTACGTTCAAAGAATATAAGTTTAAAATGTTGGGATACAATTTTCGATGCTGCTAAAACGTATGCATTTGCAAGTTAACGCTGCGAGGCCGGAAATGCACGTTTCCAGCTCCCCCCTGTACCCAAAGATGGTATATTCCACAATTTATTCCAGGGAAAGACTGACAGTTTTTTGGGTCATGAAGCAGCTGTTCAAGTCAGTGGTTCGCCCTCCCTCCGCAAGAATAAGGAATTAGTACATTTCAAATTAGATAACGACAAACGTTGGTGCAAGAAGAGAAAAAGTATGACATGTTGTCCGTGGCACAAAATAAAGCATTTAAAAATGAGAAAAAAACATTTTATATTGATAATAAAAACCTTAAATTATCACAGTTAAAATGTTAACACAGTAATATGAACAATGTGTTGTGTGTGTGTTTTTTATATATATTTTTGCAGTTTAGACAGTACAGCTGAGTAAATAAATAGAGCAAATTCCTTTATAAATTCTTGTGATATTAAAGATTGAGAGCTTAGAGCTCCCTTAAACACACACACAAATACACGCACACACTCTGGCAGACCTACTATAAAAAGTGGAGTTAAACAATGGTGCAATTACATTTGACCCCTCTACAATAAATACAGTCAACTTTAGGTTGTACCTCGGCTATCCATTGGCTTTCTATAGGTTTAAATTAGAGTTGTCATTCTGGCCCTTTGATAAAGGTAGACAATCCAAAGATCTGACTGGACTTAGCTACTCAACCTGGTTAGTATAAATGTCATGATCAATATATCTCAGAGTGCCTTTTAGATGTGTGCATAGTTTCACATGTAGAAGGCATCCGTTTGGGCATTTTACCTCAATACTTTATGTGTGAAAATGTGTGTCTATGTCTACAGTATGTGTGACTGACTTTGTGTATAGTGCTACATTCGTGATTGTTTTTGTGCATGTGTGTGCACATGCGACGTGGGTCAAGCCCCTTAGAAACAGCAGCAGAGGTCCTCTGCTTTTAAGTGGATTAAAACTCCAGCACAATCCCCAGGGCCAGCAGGCATTGGACAGACTGGGTGTAGTTTAGATGAGGACTTAAGACTGATTATCTCTCATGCTGCCTTTGTTTTTCGCTGCTACTGTTGGATAATACTGTACAGTATAGAACATTTCTATGCTGTACCTATTACTAGTGTGACTGGTATTTGTTGTGTAAATGAGCATGGTTGACGTTTCAGCATGTGAGTTGACTATTTTTCCTGGGTATACACTCAGCTCCACTTTGAACGTCACCAACTTTGTCGTGCTGCTGCAGTGGAAAGATTCCTTAGCTCTGAATGTATACCTGCAGAGTGTTTCTGTTTAGTCTGCCGTCATGCAGCCTGTCTTATCTGCGCTATAATATATGAGCTCCTGTTATGGTTTCCCTGGACCCACTGTGTCACTCCCATACTTCTTGCAACGTGTCAGCACCAATTAACCAGGTCAATATTTCTGTGCTCCAGTTGTGGCAATTCTGACCCTTATTCAAGTTTGCATTTTGATGTCTCATATTACACATATGCATACTGATAGTGTACTTCAGTTCAAAGCTATATATTAAATAGTTTACTCAAGCCAAAAAAACAAAATAGTTAATTATGAATT